AGAATGCAATGCATTCATTCTAGGAGACGTCACCACTCCAGTCACTCTGAAGGACAGATCAACCAGACAGAAGATAAGTAAGGAGACAGAGGCACTGAACTACACAACAGAACAAATGGACCTAACAGACATCTACAGAACTCTACACCCAAAAGCAACAGAATACACATTCTTCTCAAGTGCACATGGAACATTTTCAAGAATAGATCATATAATAGGCCACAAAAAGAGCCTCAGTAAATTCAAAAAGATTGAAATTGTACCAACCAGTTTCTCAGATCACAAAGGTATGCAACTAGAAATAAATTATGCAAAGAAAATGAAAACTTTCACACACACACATGGAGGCTTCACAATATGCTCCTAAATAACCAATGGATCAATGAGCAAATAAAAATAGAGACCAAGCAATATAAGGAGACAAATGACAACAATAACTCAACACTGCAAAATCTGTGGGACGCAGCCAAGGCTGTGCTAAGAGGAAAGTATATTGCAATACAGGCCTACCTCAAGGAAGAAGAACAATCCCATATAAACAGTCTAAACTCACAACTAATAAAACTAGAGAAAGAACAACAAATGAGGCCCAAAGTCAGTAGAAGGAGGGACATAATAAAGATTAGAGCAGAAATAAATAAAATTGAGAAGAATCAATAGAAAGAATTGATGAGAGCAAGAGCTGGTTCTTTGAGAAAATAAACAAAATAGATAAACCACCAGCCAGACATATCAAGAAAAAAAGAGAGTCTACTCACATAAACAGAATCAGAAATGAGAAAGGAAAAATCACTATGGACCCCACAGAAATACAAAGAATTAGAGAATACTATGAAAAATTCTATGCTAAAAAACTGGATAATCTAGAAGTAATGGACAACTTTCTAGAAAAATACAACCTTCCAAGGCTGATCAAAGAAGAAACACAAAATCTGAACAGACCAATTACCAGCAACGAAATTGAACTGGCAATCAAAAACCTACCTAAGAACAAAACCCCGGACCAGATGGCTTCAACACTGAATTTTATCAAACATTTAATGAAGATCTAATACCCATTCTCCTTAAAGTTTTCCAAAAAATAGAAGAGGAGGGAATACTTCCAAACTCATTCTATGAGGCCAGCATAACTCTAATACCAAAACAAGGCAAAGACACCACAAAAAAAGAAAATTACATACCAATACCCCTGATGAACACAGATGCAAAAATGCTCAACAAAATATTAGCAAACTGAATTCAAAAATACATCAAAAAGATCATCCATCATGATCAAGTAGAATTTATGCCAGGGATGCAAGGATGGTACAACATTCGAAAATCCGTCAACATCATCCACCACATCAACAAAAAGGACAATGATCATCTCCATAGATGCTGAAAAAGCATTTGACAAAATTCAACATCCATTTATGATAAAAACTCTCAACAAAATGGGTATAGATGGCAAGTACCTCAACATAATAAAGGCCATATATGACAAAACCACAGCCAACATTATACTTAACAGTGAGAAGCTCAAACCAAGGACGCTCACTCTCCCCACTTCTATTCAACATAGTACTGGAGGTCCTAACCACGGCAATCAGACAACACAAAGAAATAAAAGGCATGCAGATTGGCAAGGAACAAGTTAAACTGTCCCTGTTTGCAGATGACATGATATTGTACATAAAAAACCCAAAAGAATCCACTCCAAAACTACTAGATCTAGTATCTGAATTCAGCAAAGAGGCAGGATACAAAATTAATACACAGAAGTCTGTGTCATTCCTATACACTAACAATGAATAGCAGAGAGAGAAATCAGAAAACAATTCCATTCACAATTGCAACAAAAAGAATAAAATTCCTTGGAGTAAACCTAACCAAGGAAGTGACAGACCTATACTCTGAAAACTACAAGACACTCATGAGAGAAATTAAAGAAGATACCAAAAAATGAAACACATCCCATGCTCATGGCTAGGAAGAATTAATATTGTCAAAATGGCCATCCTGCCTAAAGCAATCTATAGATTCAATATAATTCCTATCAAAATACCAATAGCATTCTTCAACGAACTAGAGAATATCATCCTAAAATTCATATGGAACCACAAAGGACCTCGAATAGCCAAAGCAATCCTGAGAAGGAAGAATAAAGCAGGGGGAATTATGCTCCCCAACTTCAAGCTCTACTACAAAGCCACAGTAATCAAGACAATTTGGTACTGGCACAAGAACAGACCCATAAGCCAATGGAACAGACTAGAATATACAGAACATACAGAATATGATACCTAATATATAAAGAATGGAAACCCAACCATATATGGTCAACTAATATATGATAAAGGAACCATGGACATACAATGGGGAAATGACAGCCTCTTTAGCAGCTCATGTTGGCAAAACTGGATAGCTACATGTAAGAGAATAAAACTGGACTATTGTTTAACCCCATACACAAAAGTAAACTCAAAATGGATTAAAGACTTGAATGTAAGTCATGAAACCATAAAACTCTAAAAGACAACATAGGCAAACATCTCCAGAATATAAGCACGAGCAATTTCTTCCTGAACCCATTTCCTCAAGGAAGGGAAACAAAAGCAAAAATGAACACATGGGACTACATCAAACTAAACAGTTTTTATACAGCAAAGAACATCATCAACAAAACAAAAAGGCATCCTACAGTATGGGAGAATATATTTGTAAATGACATATCCAACAAGGGGTTAACATCCAAAATATATAAAGAACTTACACACCTCAACATCCAAAAAGCAAATAATCCGATTAACAAAAGAGCAGGGGATATGAAGAGACAGTTCTCCAAAGAAGAAATTCAGATGGCCAACAGACACATAAAAAGATGCTCTACCTCACTAATCATCATGGAAATGCAAATTAAAACCACAATGAGATACCACCTCACAGCAGTAAGGATGCCCAGCATTGAAAAGATGAAGAACAATAAATGCTGGCAAGGATGCAGAGAAAGGGGAACCCTCCTACACTGCTGGTGGGAATGTAAACTAGTTCAACCATTGTGGAAAGCAGTATGGAGGTTCCTCAAAAAACTAAAAATAGAAACACCATTTGACCCCGGAATCCCACTCCTTGGAATATACCCAAAGAACACAACTTCTCAGATTCAAAAAGACATATGCATCCCTATGTTTATTGCAGCCCTTTTTACAATAGCCAAGATATGGAAGCAACCTAAGTGTCCATCTGTAGGTGAATGGATAAAGAAGATGTGGTACATATACACAATGGAATACTATTCAGCCATATAAAGAAACAAATCCTACCATTTGAAACAACATGGATGGAGCTGTAGGACATTATGCTCAGTGAAATAAGCCAGGCAGAGAAAGACAAATACCAAATTATTTCCCTCATTTGTGGAGTATAACAATGAAGCAAAACTGAAGGAAAAAAATAGCAGCAGACTCAGAGACTCCAAGAATGAACTAGTGGTTACCAAAGGGGAGGGGTCTGGGAACATAGGTGGGGAGGGAGGGAGAAGGCGACTGAGGGGTATTATGTTCATTACACATGGTGTGGGGGATCATGGGGAGAACACTGTATCACAGAGAAGGCACATAGTGGATCTCTGGCATCTTGCTGCACTGATGGACAGTGACTGCATGGGGGTATGGGTGGGGATTTGATAATATGGGTAAATGTAATAACCACATTGTTTTTTCATGTGAAACCTTCATAAGAGTGTATATCAATCATACCTTAATAAAAAAAAAAGTGGCCCATTCAGTAAAACAGGGTACAGTTATCATTGGGGGTTTAAAGTATTTAGGTGAAAATTTTATATCATAACATAAATTGAGTTGGCGTAACATATGGGAAAGAAATAACAGTAGAAAAACTACATTAAAAACAACTTGAGAGGAAGCAGAAGAAAGAATAAACTCTGGTATGGAGAAGGGCAGGGACTAGAACAGTCATACAAGGAATAAATTGGAAGGCTAGAGGTTGAAGGGAGATAAAAATAAGAGGATTGACAATCTTATACCTCCTAGTTAGATACTCCTGGTGAGATTACGATACTTTAGTTGATCTTACACATCATGGCTGCCATGGTATGATATGAGGTGGTGGGTACTCCAGCCCTTGCCAACCAAAGATCTTAAATTATGGCTAGAAGAAGCATAAAGTGACAGCATGAAAGAAAAAGTGGCAATAGATGCCAGGGCTACACACATGAAATTATTTTCAGAAAACCCCAAGCTTGCCATTTCTATATACAGCTATTTAACCTATTAACTCTATGACCAGTATTGTTTCTCACACATTTTAACTGGTTATTAGTAGCCAGAAATGGCCCACAGAAACAAAGCTATTAATGGCAGGATCCAGAGTAATGATAAACCAGGCCCAATACTGAAGAATTTATATGTATTATCTCATTAATTTAATAACAAAGATAAAAAATGTAGACCACACACCAGCTGTATCTCACAAACTCAGTTATTTTTTCACATTATTGTAGAAATAATAAGAATCATAAGTTTAGGTGTTGGAGACATATTAAAGATCACCCAATTTAATTCCTTAATTTTAAAGATAAGACTAAGGCCCAAAGAGGTTAGATAATTTTCCCAAGGGGACTCATTATTTTGTAAAATTGGACTAAATTTATAAACACAAGATTTTTAATAATTCTAAAGATATAGAAAATAATTCAGCATTTTAATGCTTTGTATATCCAAAGATCCATTATTTTGTTAGCTCTTCTTATTATCAAAAAAAAGCAGTCAATACAATGTAGAAAAGAGATTTTTTTTAAAAAAAATCTTTGACAGACATAGCAAGACTATGTGAAATAAGAGACCCAAGAATTTGAAATTGGTCCAACAACCCAGGAGAAAAAGGTTGCCAAGTTAATAACCATAATAATTTCTGATGTTGGTTTTTCAATAACATTATTTGTCAATCTGAATTAATAACATATCATATGCTCTCTCAAATTAGTATCAACTTTAATTTACCTTTGTCTTGATACTCAGATGGTTCTTGTTGTGGAACTTTTGCACAAATTTCATGTGTATCCCTCTGCTCCATTACAGACAATTCAGGTATGTTTAAATATTTTGACCTTTATTAGAATAAATAAAACCATAAAATGTTAAAGAAGATATTGTAATTAATCTGACTGAGAAACTACTTATTCGTATAAATGAAAAAAAGTGGATCTTGCACTACACACTTCTATGATAAAATATACCAGCCTGGTTAATAAACAGTAAAAACAGGTGCTTAATGAAAGCATAGATACTTAGTTATCTTTACTTACTCCCAGTGTGTAGATATCTGCTATGTGTATTCTTAAAAGTCCATTGATAATGCTACTTTTAGTTAGATAACAAAAGTTAAGATCCCTTGAAATAACAGTGGCATCTGCTATGACTGATCAGTGACTATTCTGTACTGGTTGTTAAGTATATTACATTATTACATACAGAATGCCCTCATCTGGAAGGGAAATGGCATACACTCTTGATAATGCTGAGTTAATATCTAGGGTCTTCTGCTTACTAACCAGGAATATGAGCTGCAATTATTTTATCTGTAAAATGCCAGGTTGTTGTTAAGGTCAAAAGAGATCATTTTAAATTAAAAGTGAAGATTTTAAATTATGAAGTATTTTATAATTCATTTATAATTATACATATAAGGTATTATTCATATATAGTGAGCCCCTAAATAGAAAGGATCAGATTTGTACACCAACATGATTTCTCTTTTTAAAGTGTAATCTTGTCTCCTGTTAAGTTTACTAGGCAGAGAAAGCCTGAGGGTATGACAGAAGGAATACAATTCCCAGGAAAAGAGATGATTCTGTACCTGTAGAGTCCTCAATAAATTTAGACTATGAAAGATAATGAAACTCTTATGATATCATTACTTTATTATGGAATTAAATGAATACTGTGACTTGAAGGTAGCTAGTGACCACCTTTCTCTGAAAAAATGATTACTTGGAGGATGAATATTTTAACTTAAATATTAACATAATATTTGTACCTTGATATACTGGGAAGAGAAGGTTTTGAAGTAAAACTAAACTTCTTAAGGTCCACACTTTGAGATTTATTCATCTGCATCTATTAATAAAAAGAAACAAGTTCAACTATCAAACTTACATCAATACCTTTTCACAAATCAACAAAACACTAAACTTTCTGTTGGTACATAAAGCCCCAAAACCAATGAATTATGAGAAACTCAGGCTAGATCTCCACTCAACTCCAGACATACTGTATTACTTTATTAATTCCCCTTGTTTTGGCCTCATGACTTAGAATACTTCAAGACTGTATTACATACTGTATTATTATGATTATTAACTTGGCAACCTTTTTCTCCTGCGTTGTTGGGCCAATTTCAAATTCTCAGGTCTGTTATTTCAGATAGTCTTGCTATGTCTGTCACAGAGTTTTCAAAAAAAAATCTCTTCTACATTGTGTTGACTAATTTTTTTCGAAAGATAATTTTTAAAAACATCTTTAACTCTTTCTCAGCTCTGAACCATTGCACATTCTCTATGTCTGGAATACTTTTCAATCCCTCTCCACCACTCTGGTGCCCACCTCTCCAGACTTGGCTTATGCTTATATACCCTTCAGATCTCAACCATGTTTATTAGGAATTCTTTCCTGGCCTACCACATGTGTAGTGAGTATATTTTCTATTTAAGTTCAAGTTACCTTATACTTCTGTCACAGAATCACTCATCCCACCCTATTTACTTTTGGGATCCTTCATCCAACCCTAAGCTCTATGAGGACTAGGACTGTCTTATTCATCATTGCATCTTAGCGCCTATCTCAGTGTTTGGCATATTCTTGGTGCTCAATGAATACAGAAGGAAAGAAGGAACAATATGGAATAAATATGGAAGGAAGGAAGGGATGGAGGAAAAGGAGGAAGTAAGGAAGAAGGGAAAAACTTGTACTACTAAAAAATTACTATCTCAGAGAAAGTGCAGCCATTTCAACCTGCATGCCTCTCCGTTTCCCAATATTCCCCTTGTTTGGGCCTCATGACTTAGAATCTTCATTCTACAAAAGTCCTGGAAAAGAAACGGGCACTCTGCCATTTTCCTGGATCTGTTCTGTGGCCTGATCAGTTATTTTGCCCTGGATAGGATGACTTAGGCTAGAATAAGCCTGTTGGCAATTAGCCTGTCAACTAGTAGGTTCTTCCATTCCTTCCTCACTTGGAAGAGAGGCTTTTTCTCAATACTCCTCTAGGTGCATGAATCAAAATTAATTTCAGACTTTCCAAACAGAGCCAGGAAAGGGCAAGAGTGTGTAGTCAACTGCTGAACCAAACCAAGCTATATATCCCTCTTCATTTCCCTCTTATTCTCTGGTTTAAAAAAAAAGGCTAATGAGGGAAGGGGCTGTATAGCTATATCCCAAAGCAGAGTTACAGGTTAATTACTAAGAACTATAATGTGTTTTCCTTGAAAAACAGTATTAAGAATAATGGTCATATTCCTAGCCAAGCCCTCAAGTAACAATGTGGATACCTACCTAATTAACACACAGAAGAAAGGACTATTCATATACATTTAATTATAGAACAAGAGATACATGTTATTAAAACTAACCTTGAAACGTTTAACTGGAGGAAGAGATGAAACAGCGTTCCTGTTTCTTAAATCAGATAAATATGAAGAAATTGTTGGCTCTTTCATTTCTGTCTTCTGTGTGACTCCAGTTTTACCTATAAAAGAAGTTCTAGATTCTTTAGGTTGAGCTTTAGGTACTGATCATATAAACCCAAATTTCTTTAAAATTTCTAATCTAATATTTACTTTTCCTTCATGTTGCTCACAAAAGAAAATGATTTGAGTTAAAAGCTCAATAATATAAATATCACACACAGATAATTAAGATGTCATTACAATTCATCAAAGACCTTTCAATTTTTAAAACCTGTAAGAGACTTGTTTTATGGAACTCACAGCAGTCATGTCCACATGTATGCTTATTTTTACAGTGATGATTACACTCTCGATTTCCAGGTTTTTTGCAGGTAGTCATTCCTAAATTAATATAAGAAAAACAAGTCTATTTTTTACTATATGCATTATTATGAATTGAATATAATTAATTTAATCCAGTCTCTTTCCTTTCAGACAGTACCAAAAGATTACGATTTTCATACTTCCTCAAATATTAACCCACTTAACATATAATTATTAAAAATATATTTCTGATAAGTTAGCCCTACCCCACTATTAGCCCCATCCGAGCTTTTCACAAGGAACATCGAGCCACCTTTAGCTTCTCTTAACCTCCATGATAGAGCTAAATGTCACAGAATATTGGTAACTTTTGTCCTGAGTGAAGTAAGAATGAGGATGGAGTTGTGAAATTGTCTGCTACTTTATATTTAAGCCTAAAGAACCTGGAAAGAACCAAACCTCATAGCATTTTGATGGCATCACTGATAGCTGCTAGTAGTGTCTTAGGGTATAAGAAATTTGCTATATGAATTTATAGAAAGGAGAAATTGCTTCCAGCTTGATCCCCATAAGTTAGACTTAATATATCCAAATATATAATTTATTCATTTATTATATTTTAAGTAGGCTTTTTCTTGATCTTAGTTCGCACTCAGTCTCTCCCAACATGAGGAAAGAGACATTTGAACTGCCCTTGAAGGACAGACAGGATCTGGATATGAGAAGGGCACCAAGGGAAGATGTTCCTGGTAGAAGATGTAATACCCAAAGGGGGCAAACCAAAGACTGAAGAAACAGAGATCAGTTTATTTTTGCTGGAACATAGACTTTAAGCAGACCAGAAATGTTGAAGATAATAAACAGCTTTGAAAACCTTTGCAACCTGTATTGGCTCTATATTGTTCATTTGTAATGTTGTTGCTCAATCAACCTTTTTCAAGGCATGGCACATCTAGACAATGATAATACATCTATAGCACCCTGGCATGAATGGGTAAGGCTGCTCACCACAGGAGGCAACTGGCTGGATGCTTTAAGTGCTGGGCAGATCAATGTATTGGGTACTGATAAAGTAATAAAACATACCCGGCAGCTGGAAGCTGACAGTTGGAACAGTATTCCCAGCTGAATATAAACAACTTATGCAGAATATAAACAATACTCAGATAAGTCATTCTGCAACTGTAGAAGGCAGCAATAAGAGTACCGTGTAATTATTTCTGAAGTTAGAGATAAGGACACACAAGAACCACAAAAGTAATTGAACATCCCCCTCTTCTGGCTAACACAAATGACTGCAATTTCTTTAATTTTCCCATCTCCAAAATTTCCAATACCCCACTTTCTGAGAGCACCCAAGCTAAAATTGACCTCTGCTTTCCCTAAACCCTTCTAAGAATCACCAATACAACCTGAAATCCTATAATAAGCTCCTCCCAACTCCCTGAGATGACCCACAGTTCTACCGGGGCTATGCTTTCTTTTTCTGCAGCAAGTTAAAAAATACCTAATTTTCCTCAAATACAGGTGTGCTCCCCAGTGGTCTTTGGCTGAAAGGTTTCAACATAATACTTTGCAAGATATGCCATGGCTTACTGGTTGAGAAATTTTGCACCAGTTTATGGTATCATCTCTTATTTAGTTACCTGATTTCCTTGACTTGTAGTATTCCTTGAATACTTACTGCTGCAAACTAATTAATTCCATACTTCAGATCCTCCACAATTCTAGCCTCCCTTTCTAGCACCCATATTAACCCTATGTCCATCAAAACACATTCACTTATCATTATTCAAACAGTCCTAGTCCTCTATGATTGTACCTTGAAATTACCCCGTTTTAAAAGACCCTCACTTTGTCTATTAGAGGCCTATCAAGTTTCTCAAATGACCCCTCTAATGAAGATACATCTTCATAACCCTATCTGGAAGTGATTTTTCTCTCCTTTGAGCCCCTATCACATTTTCTTATAGGAGGCTTGCTATCTTTCATGAGGCTACCCTAAGGTAGTTTCTCATCTACCTCCTGGTTCCAGTAAGGCATAGGATTTTCTACCTTGCCCCTTTCAGGTCAGTAACCCATACCTGGAACTGTATAAAACTGCTTAGCTGCAGCCTAGAGCTGACTCCTCAAAAACAAAGCAACATTACCATTGGTATCATCTGGCCCTTCCATTTCAGTGTCATTCTGTAGGGTTAGGGATGCAAGCAGCTGGTACCATGCTGATCCTGTTTTGTGGTCTATGTAAGTAATAAACTGTCTAAATCTATGTGGGTCTCTTGTGTCCTTACCAGCCAATTTTATGGAGGTAAGGCAAGAGTATATAGCAGCAGCCTAGTTGCCTCTTCCTTCCTTCTAGATAGAGGTAGTAGAGCAGACTTTATTTGCAATATTTTCACCTGTCTGGGGTTTTCTTGGAGGACTGATTGATCTCTGCTTTGCTTAACTAGGGGTCTGGTGGGGATAAACAGCATACATGAATCCTGCAGCTTAGAGACTCACTGACCATGTGACATTATGGAACCTTGTTGGTGATGTTAATCATTTGGATCTTTTATTATAAGAGCTATGTGAGCCACTGAAAAAACTATTTTAAAGTATTTTAACCAAAGAAGGGACATAACTGAATTTGTACTTTGAAGAAAATCAATCTATGGAATGTAATAAAGAGAATGGATTTGAGAGATAATAGTGTAGATGCAAGAAAACTATTTAAGAGGGTACTGTAGGAGTCTAAGCAAGAAAATGATGGTAATTCAGTCTGGAATGGTGGTAATAGTGGAGTCAGAGAATGCACTGATTGAGAGATACATAGGAGATTAAAATATTTTAGTCCAGAATCAAGTGGAGTGCTTTTCTTTCTTGAGCAGCATGTTGTTTTCCCTCAAGTTTTACTGCCTTCCTTTTAGTCTAGCAACATGTACATTAAGTTTCTTTAAGTTCACTCAATATTTCAAAGACAGAGACAAATATGGAATCACCTCACCCATTTATTCTCCTCTTGTAGACACCTCCTTCCTTGAGCTCCTTCCATGCTCCTTCTAATGCATTCTAGGCCTGTCCTCTAGTTGTCATCTGGAACTTTCCTTCATTAAGTTTCTGGACTGAATCCATTATTTCCAGATTCACTGACTTTTTCTTTCTCTGTTAACTGCTTTGTTGTATCATGCTTATCCTCAAGCGACTGACTGAGGAAAGAATGTGTGGAATTTAAACTTTCTGAATCCTTGAGTGTATTAAGATATTTTTATTTTACTTTCACAATTAATAGTTTGGCTGGGTATAGACACAGGGTTGAAAACAGTTTTTCCCTTGGATTTTTATTTCACAGTCTTGTATCCAGTGTTGCTTATAAAAAGATTAACAACTTCGGTTCTGTTCCTTGGATTTTCCATGATTTTCTCTTTATCCAAGACATTTCAAAACATTGAAATTATGCCTCCTTTGTAGATATTCTTTCATTCATCCTAAGTAGCATGGTGTAAGCCTTTCTGATGTGTAGATTTATGTCTCACTTCAAGTGATTTCTTCTGATTTGTTTGTTCTCTTTGGAACATTTCTCAGTCAGCCATTGGACTCCTAGATTGCTCTTTGTCTCGCATTTCTGTTTCCTTGCCTTTTTGCTTTCATTTAAATTATACTGGCTTCAGCTTCTGGCTCTCCAGTTATTTTTCTTTTTCCAATCACAGTTTTTACTTCCGTGTGCTCACTCTTGCTCTTTAATTGTCCTTTTAATTCATGGCATCCTATTGTGTTTTATGGTTGCAATTAATCTTTAATTTCTCTGAGGTTACTAATTAGTTTATATTACATTTTATATATTCATGAATTACCCTGTTGCTCTTTAATCCACTTATTTTGGGCTTTCTTTCATATGTTCCAGATTTTCCAGATGTCTCTTCATCCTCTGTTGTCTGCTCATAAGACAGTCCGATTAGACCTCCTTTTCACAGATGAGAAAATTAATTCACACAGAGGTTCAGTACCAGGTTCAAGACTATCCTGATAATAGGAAATTTGAGATTCTCAATTCAGGTAGTCTAATTCCAGAACCTGAGCTCTCAACCACCCTGCCTTCCTAATTATACTAGCCATCTCCTCCCCCAAATAACGCATTTAATTTACTTAGGGAGGAGTCTAACGTTTTGGGGTTGGGAAGACAAGGAAGAGAGATGCCTTGCAGGTTGCTTTGTCCCTTAATCCAAGGACTTCTAAGAGATGCGTTTCTAAACATTACCACAAGATGGTGCACAATGACTGTGCACATTTGTTCTCAGTGGTTAAACTATATCTGAGAGTCAAATTTTTGAGATTCTGGGTACTCCACAAAATTTCAGGCAGAGTTGGCAAGTCATGTCACAAATGAGGACTGTGTATAAGTTTTTTATGGACTATTAGTATATGGTCATTACCTAAATGAAAAACTTCTTACTGTATTTGTTAGAAATGGTACTTAGAAATATATGTATACCCCCACCCCACTCCCTACATCCTGAGAACTGTCTGAATTTGTCTTATTAACAAATATAAGCTTACAGAGATTAATAATCAGAAAAACAAGGTACTCAGAGAAAACTGACCTAAGCTGCACTCTTAGGTATACTTTAAAGTTAATAGATCCCATATACTGTCACTTTCATAATCTGAAATGCATACATTATCATATACATTTGTCACATTATATTAATTTACATGCTTTTAAAGCCCCCAGTTCCAAATATTTAAAATAATATAAATTTAGTAATGTCGACCAGAACTGTATTTAAGGAAAATATTTAAGATTACTTTAACAGAGTCAATAATAGCTTATGGGGCAAGGGTCATTTGCTTTAAAATAAACTCAGAAAGACATGCTTAGCCTCACATCCTAGTTATACACTGAAATAATTTGGTCTCTACATAAGCTACAAGAGGTAATATTCCTAAAAGAATATTACTTTGATGTTACAGTTCCTGATTTAGCCTAATCATAGATTTATGTACTTTATTTTACTTTTTAAATGACAGCATAGCCTTTAAATTTTTTCTCAAATATATTCTGTCATTTTGTTATCTATTTATCAAGAAGAGAACCACAC